CTAGAGATTTCAGGCTTCAAAAAATAGTTTGTTTTAGGTAAACTTGTATTCATTCCCTTTCTTGTCCTTTTGATTTGCTTTACTTACCTAAGCTCTTTAGTTTTTAAGCTTTCCAAAAGTTTCCAACAGTCAGTGCACACTTTCTTTACAAAACCCTTATTCAAAAGTATTGGATGCTTTTGAAGGTCTTTGGATTCAGATGTCCATTAAAATATTGAGAATTCCATGTCAACTTTATTGATTTCCTTTTATTTTAGTATTCCAGATGTCTTCAATTTGAGATTTAATTGATTCCCTTTTATTTTTAATATTGCCAGAGAAGGCCAAGAAGATTTTAAAAGGATTCCAATTGTTTTGGTCCTTTGATTAGTTTTCTTGTAAATTATATTGGAGGCCCTGGTTGTTGGGGGGGGGGCCGGGGGGGGGGTTGATTAATCAAGGGACTACATTAGGGGGAAGGGGGGTCAATCTCTTTTGGATGGATTACCGCCTCCAATAGGAAACTTTCTTGCGCGCCGATGTCCCCGATTGAGAGCTGCCTCGCTTCTTCCATCCGTGGTTTCGTAAAAGACTGACAGTGCATGAGCCCGGGGATCAAGTTCAGTCATGAACTAAGCCAAAGGCAGATGCCAAAGTGACAATTTTGTTGCGTGAGGCGCGCGTGAGATGTTGGACAGGTCGGCCCCTAGTACGTTAATTTGAGGTTCCTTTGAGTTCGTTTGAGTACCAATCAAGGCCGCTGCGCTGGTTTTTGCCTTGAAGACCATGTTGATAGAAACTATTTGCCTTGAAACTTGACTATAAATCCTCCAGATTTAGTCAAGGCGAGCTGAAAAATCTTGGGGCGGCAAGGCTCGACTTGAGAAAAAACAGCTTGCCTTGACTAAATCCTCCGGATTTAGTCGAGGCGGTCTTTTTCCATACTCAAAATTGACCATGCAAATCCAGACTTCCTGGCTCCCCACAATTACATTCTTTGGTAAAACTACCCGACAATTAAATTCTTTAGTAAACCCTCCTGACAATTAGATTCTTTAGCAATACATCCCGACAATTAGATTCTTTAGTAAAACCTCCCGACAAGTATTACATTCCTTACTGAAGCCCCCCACAACTAGATTCAGATGCGTCATCCCAAGTCAGCCAGAACCATGAAAAAGCATAGAAAAATGAAGCCGGAAATGAAATTTCAAAAGGTAACCCCCTCCCCCGATTTCTAGGTTGGAAGCCATCGCAAGTAGGTTGGAGGCCATCGCTTCTAGGTTGCAGGCCTT